AGATTGTAAGCTCGTAAGAGTAGGGCCCTCTTACCCCTCGTACGCTGTCTGTCTTTGTTGTACTGTGCCATGTATTGTCCCCCCCTATTGTACAGCGCTGAGCAAACCCTTTGGCGCTATATAAACTCGTAGTAATAATAATAATAATAATTTACTGCAGGTGCTAAGACATTTTTGTTCTCTACTGGTGCTATCTGAAAAAAATAATTCTCTCTCACCATCTTGCATGCCCCATGTCATCATTGCAACTCTGCAAATACATGTTTAAAAATGCATGTGAATGAGTGATGCCATGTTAACAAATGCTTTCCCCTTCTTATCTTCAGATGCACTTTCGAGTCCAAAAGGGGAGAAGAGCATAGACAAGCTAGAAGCATTTCCCTAGTGTTTCTCCCATTAAAAGCCATAAACCCCATAAAACCACTGGTTGTTTATTGTGGTTCTAAAGGTACAAGGTTTTTTACCTTCATGCATTCTATGAATGGAGGTAAAAAACCTTCTCTGTGCAGCAGTCCCCCCCTAATACTCGCCTAAGACCCCTCTCGATCCAGCGATGTGCACTGGAGTCTCGGTAATCCTAGGACTCCCTCTCCTCATTGGTTGAGATAGCAGCAGGAGCAATTGACTCCCACTGCTGTCAATCACAGTGAGCCAGTGAGCCAATGAGGGGGGGCGGAGCCAAACCGCAGCTCCATGTGTGAATGGACACACGGAGCAGCGGGTGCCCCCATAGCAAGTTGCTTGCTGTGGGGGCACCCGACAAGAGGGAGGGGCCAGGAGCACCGGCAGGGAACCTGAGAAGAGGAGGATCCGGGGTGCTCTGTTCGAAACCACTGTAGAGAGCAGGTAAGTATGATGTGTTTGCTATTTAAAAAAAAAAAATAAGCCTTTAATATCACTTTAATACATTTTATACATTGAGGTGAAAAAAAAAATTTAAACGAGCCCGATCTCAATCCAGCGCTGTGCATGAGAGTAATAGCTCTTTTGGCTCTCTCTTCTCACTGGACAGAGAGACAGCAGTGGGACCTATTGTTTCCTCATGCTGTCAGTTGCGTGTTCGTGAGTTTATGTTTTCCTTTTTTTTCCTTCTTTATTTTTGTTTTTATATTGTATTTTGAGTAAAAAATGTTTGGTATAATTTTTATATTCATTTTATTTCTTTGTATCTTAATTTAAATTCTTCTTTCATTTTTGTTTTTGTTCAGTATTATTCTTGTTTGTTTTCATGGCTGTATCAGTTGTTTTTTGTATGATATTTTGTGGAATTTTTTCATGCCCCAAGTAGGCTGCTTTTTATTGTATTTTTTATTTTTCGTATTTTATGTAATTTTATTGTCAGTTGTAGGCTGTGAGACCATAGGGTGGATATGTTTATGTCGTTCTATGATCCTTAAATACCCATATTAGTGGATGGTATAATGATAATATTGGTGCAGCCTATAAAAAAATGGTGTTCGCTTTGTCTATAGCGGGTTTAGCCTGTGGATCATGATAAAATGAAGTGGGTCCATCCAGCCTACAGTAAAATGGCACACGTTAAGTCACGTTGCACGCACAGGCTATTTATGGGACCTGAGTGGGACATCAGCAGCAGGCGGATCCCTTTGAGGACATGCGTGTGCATGAAATTTGTCATAGAGGGGACTTTGAAAATGTGCACCAAAACCTGGGGGCAGGGACCTAAAAAGGCTCTGTTGACCCAAGCTGGCTGCGAGGGGTCACCTGGATGCAGCATGGCCAAGTGAAATGCTTCCCCAGAAGCCCAGAAAACCATAGAGAAACTAGGTTTCTCCTGACTTCCCTTCCAGATGCAGTACTTTTCCGTCGAGTGTCACCTACAGTAGCACCTGCCTACAAATCAGTTACAGGTTCATTCCATGTCCCAGATTCTTCAGTAAGATTTACCTGCAAGAGTTCCAAGCTATTCTATAGAAAATCACTTCTGCTGAAGGAAGAAGAGCCTCCCGCTGATGTATACAACATTATGGACATTAATTCCATTAACAATCCAAAACAGTAAATCATTTGTAATGACCACAGTAAATAGATGACTATGGAAGCTGAGGGTCAGAGATACTACAGCTATACTCAGTGAGCAAATAAATAAATAACACTGAAAGCTGTATGTGTTTGTCTATGTGTGTGTGCGTTCGGACAGTTAAAAGAAATTACTGCATAGAGAAAATACAATTAACAGACATTTTGAACCTTTTCAAACAAAATCTTTAGTTTAGGTCTATAAAAATTGCAAACATAAAAAATGCATATGCCCTATATATATTATTTACAGATATGTGATGCTTATTTTAGCATCTCACACTATGAAAATGACACAAACAGAAACTGGAAAACTTCTGTGTATCTCATGAAGTAAACTGTACAACAAAAAGTAAAACAGATCCTTATTACAAAACACAGTAATTACACTGATCAATGATCATACACATAAAACAGATAATACTACAAAGCTGTTGCTTTCACAATCATAATTACCCTCATGTAAGCATCGTTCATTGATTCAGCTCTGCACTAATATGAGTTTAAAGGATAAGTTAACCTTTTAGTCAAAAATAATAAATGCACATTTTTTTGCAGGCAAAAAAATGCGCCTTTCTTATTTTTGTCTGCAGGAGCCTCTAAAGCATTGCACCAGCGATCAGCAGATCGCTGGTGCCATACAGGCCTCCTGCAGACCTGTCAGTATATCTGCTTGCCCATACAGGATGTACGAGCAAGCAGATATATGTACAGGAAGAATGAATTAACTACCACAGCATTACACCAAGCTGTGGCAGTTAATTGAGGACTACAAGACGACAGCTGCTAAGGCTTACGGGACTTGTAGTTTCTCATTCACAGAACACAGTGAATGAATGATGCAGCCAGGCCGGCGGAGCCCCGAATGGCCACGTTTTTAAAATTTGACAGCTAGCGAGGGGGGAGAAGATTATTATACAGGATTTATATAGAGCCAACAATTTGCTCAGCGCTTTACAATATAGAAGATCCCCCACTAGCTGTCAAAGCGGTAATCGGGGAGGTACGGGGGCAGGTCTGATCGTAACATGTTACACCCTGAATATGGATGCAGAGGCGGACTGACAACTCATGGGGCCCCCGGGCAATAGGGGATCATGGGGCCCCTGTGTCCTTGCCCAAACACAAAAAAGCCTATGAAAACAAAGGTACCAGGGGCATCTCATGGGGCCCCCTACTGACCCCGGGCCCTCGGGCAGTGCCCGAGTTTCCAAATGGTCAGTCCGTCCCTGTATAGATGTAACATGTTACGAAAGGTGAACTTATTGTTTAAAGAAGGTTCTGTTAGATTACTGGTTTAAAATCGACTTACTGCAGATCAGTACTAAGAGGATTTTCCCTGTTCCCTAATTTTTGAATAGCCACTCCTCAAACACCTAAAGATTATTTAGCTGACAAAAGATAGCTGAATAAATTACAAACTATCCTAGCTATCCACAATGTGCTAGTATTGCAATTCAGCACAAGAAACAAGACACATAGTGTATTTTTTGTGTCTGGTTTATGGGGAGGGAATTATGTAGCCTTTTGCACAACATCTGTTATCATATGGGGCAATACATGAGCACAGCAATGGTGGATGTTGTTGGAACTGGACCAGATTTTGGAAGGCTTCTGGCAATGGAGCTGGTCGCTGCACTTGTGCCTTCCGGGTGCCCAAAAACTTCCTGAAAATTTGTCCCACAAGCAGACTGGGAGATAATCTGCTCCCCAAAAGATATCTTTGTGCTACAGAACATTACATAAGTCCTCATGCACATTGGACGTTTTGATAACGCTGGTAACATTAGCTTTGTAAAGTCACATTAAAACGTATTTGCATTAGCGTTTAGCTGAGTTTTTCTGCATTTGTGGGGTTTTTTTTTTTTTTTTTTTTTATCCAAAAACGATGGATTGCAGTGTTTTAATGTGTTTTGCCGCATTTTTCATTTTTTTTTTTCAGCTTTAGAGCATTTTTAGAGCTAAAAAACTCCTCTAGAAACCCACTAATCCTGGGTTTTTTTTTCCAGCCAAAAACGTCCCAGCCAAAAAAAAACATTGATTACAGTCTATGTGTGCATGGACACATAGGATAACATTGCTGGCTGTAGAAAAACCATCAAAAGCCAAAAACAGCAGCTGTAAAAATGTCAAGCGTGCATGAGGACTAAAGCTAGAGAAATGCAAACAGCTAACATCTCACTGCATTTTCCCAGCAATTTTAAAGAGACAGTAGCAGTATTGGACTAATATTCAACCAATCTGCAATTGTCATATTATTTTAAACTTTCCCACTTTGGGCTTATTTCTACAAAAATAAAAATTACAAATGCGACACAATCGGTGACTGAAAATGAGTGTTAATGATTTTTTTCTGTCTGTGTTTTATGAAACTTTCATCTTGAAATGGTGATTGTAGTTGAATTTAAATCCTGTACTAAAACTGCTTAATCTGATCTCACTGCATACTTTGAGCTTCTCACAGTGTGCATTAGGTGCTGCAGCAAATCAGATAGAGCCTGCCTCATTTCCTGGTTAAAATATGTCCAGCATCATCTAGTACTTTCTTGACAAGCACTGTCCCTGGCCCATGCATATGCAGCCTGCCTAGGAACGCCCATTGCTCCAGACTGACATCTGCATAACTCTTCCCAAGCATCAGGCTGAGGCTACTTGAGACCAGTACTGAAGCAGGAACCTGTGATGATTTCAGGAATCCATGTACCGTCTGCACTGCACTGCACAGGGAAGCACAGAGACCCAAGACCTGGTTCACACTGAACGCAACTTTGAAATCGCGCTACTTCACTTAAAGTAGCGCGATTTCAAAGTTGCAGATCAGTGCAATTTATACCTCCCGATTTCACTGTGGCTTTAACTCGCAAAGAAATCGGAAAAAATTAGTGTTCTTGAAATCACACTACTTCAAATCGCACTGAATAGGACAGTGCCGTAGAAATACATTAGATGCAACTTCAGGTGTGATTTGTCTAATGAATGTGGATGTCAGTGTCTTGTGCGATTTGCTGCAGCGCGATTTCTAAAGTAGCTCTTGCATTACTTTTTCTGCAGTTTTTTTGCGATTTCACATACATAGAATCCGGGGCGGACTGACAAGTCATGGGGCCCCTGGGCAATAGGGGATCATGGGGCCTCTGTGTCCTTGCCCAAACTTAAAAAAGCCTATGAAAAAGGTACCAGGGGCATCTCATGGGGGCCCCCTACTGACCCTGGGCCCTCGGGCAGTGCCTGAGTTTCCAAATGGTCAGTCCGCCCCTGCAATAGAATGTAATGGAAATTGCACTGCAAATTGCAAGAAATCGTTGAAAATCTGTACGAGTAGCAATAAGTCCCCAGTCACACTGGATGCAAATTGGCATGCGATTTGCATGCATAGCGACTTGCAAATCGCATGCCAAGTTGCACCCTAATTGTCCGCACTTAGAGTGGTCATATTGGTGCGGTTCTGATTTCTAAAGTAGTACATGCACTACTTTTGGTGCAATTTGCATAGATATCTGTGTCAGATGTCTTGTAAATCGCACCTGAAATGGGCATGTCACCCGATTTTGAAATCGTGCTACTTCACTGTAAGGCTTGGTTCACACTGGATGAGAATTACACTTGATGCGATTTAAAATCGCGCATTTTCTTTGTGATTTCACCACGTTTTCTGAAGATTTCCCAGTGATCTCTTGCGTTTTCCATTGCATTTTGCAGTGCAATTTCTATTGTACTCTATATGTGAAATCACAACAAACTGCAGAAAAAGTAATACAAGAGCTACTTTTGAAATTGCGCTGCAGCAAATTGCGTATGTTAAGACACTCACATTCACATTCATTAGATTAGATTTCAGGTACGATTTCAATTCCCAAATCGCACCTGAAATCGCAGTGGTGTGAACCAGGGCTTAAGAAAATGGAATGGTTAGCTAGTTGATGGGGGGGAGAAGAAAGGATTTGAAGAGGTAAAATATAAGCAGATCAAACCTCAGCTTTAACTGGTTTTGTCTGTCTTACTATATCTATATATTATCTATATTTTTGACATGTTAAAAAAAGATAATGCAATCTTTTAATAGACTTGAAGCATATACCAGAAAATAACAGTCTTCCATTTTACATAGATTATTTAAAAATCGAACAGAACATCTGTTTTAGGTCCAGTTGTCTTTCTGTACAAAATTTTCTCCAATAGCCATAGCTGTCCGCTTCATAGTTTCAACAAGTTGGAATCTCTGTGCAATCTAAAAAAAAAAATAAAAATAAAAAGTGAATATAAGGGAAGTAAAAAAAATTAAAAAATATACAGTACAAAAATAAAAAGGTACAGCAATTCATACACTGACCTATGTTCACTTCTATTTACTTTACACCTAAGCCTCAATGGGTACCCAAAATAAACATAAGGCATCCAGGTAATTTTTTATATTAATCAAATCAGCCCTTTAAATTTTAGGAAGCACAGTGTGTTCCGTATCTGTCAACAGAAGGTCAGATATTGCTCCGGGAACAATGGACATTGTCTATAGTGCTGGGACCTTCAATGCCTCTGGAGCAATAGGCCTATTCGATACCTTCTTTCCTTCTAATCATTAAAAAAAAAAGTGTAGGATTGGACAATTACACTGAGACTTTTTGAAAGCAGGTACATTTCCATGAATGAAGCATTCATTAACACCTAATAATTTCAAAAATGTCCTAATCCCCTTTTGAGCATCACACTAGGCCATTGGGGCCAGACTGACGTATTGGGGTTTATTTACTAAAACTGGAGAAAGAAGAATCTGGTACGGCTCTGCATAGAAACCAATCAGCTTCCAGGTTTTATTACCAAAGCTTAATCACACAAGCTGAAGATAGAAGCTGATTGGCCACCATGTACAGCTGTGCCAGATTTTGCACTCTCCAGTTTTAGTAAATTAACCTCCTTGGGTCACAGCCAGAATGGCAGAGGTATGGCTGGGATTATATACTGAAGACTAAAGTGGCACTCATGCACATGACCTATTTTTTGGAGGTTTGTCTTTGTTTTTTTCACCCAGTTTTCATGTGCTGTAGTTAAATTTTGTCTAACAATATTGATTTAAACAAGTACTAATGTACCTTGCAGCAACATTGGAAAGCAATAAGGAACTGGAGAGAAAGGTCCAACCTAGCTAACACACCTTTCCCATTGAGTAGAGCAAAGGTTCTCCAATGCAGTCACTTGTATCCCACAAATTGGCACTGGTCAACAAGGTGTGTTATATAGCCTTGGTTAATAAGGCAAGAAGCAACCAATCAGCATTTCCCTTACACTGATCTAATTCTAATAAATAAAATCTAATTGATCACTGTGGGTTACTGTGCTTTTGTTGGCACTTTGCACTGCCCTACTGAATACGCTTCTAAAGAGTGATTTATCTTCAGCCTTTTGCCATCAGCTAAATGAAAATGACCGCTGTGGTTGTTGAGCATGGTAATTCTAGACCGCTTGCAAACAAAACACAGAATAATGCCATCATTCAAATTTTATTAGATGGTAAAATACATACATGACATTAATGAAGTTCCACAACCACTTTGACATTTTTCAATCACCAAAAGAAAGAGTGGGAGAATTAAAGAATCAGAGAGCTTGACAGGAACAAAGGCAGAGGAAAGCAAGTGGAGAGAGAATAGGAAAAAGAGACAGAGAATAAAGCAGAGAGGCAAAGAGAGAGGAAGGCATTGAAAGGAAAAGAGAGACAGAGAGCTGGTTAGAAAGACAAAGATAAACAATGCATTAGAACATTTAATATGAAAAAGAACAAAAATACACTTGTATGTGGAGAATGCTGAAAAAATTATGCATATATGTGAAAGCTCCCTAGTGTGATATTAAAGGATATGTGTATTTTTATTAAAGTTCAGTTGTATCCTTTCCCCCCTTCCAGTGCCAACACCACCCCCCTCACCCTCTGATTACCCACTTCTCCTTGGTCAACACGTCATGTCCCTCAGTGGCTCTTTTACCCCCCTCCCCAACACCCAATGGCTCAATCAATCCCTTGCTCACTGTCTATCAGTTAACCCCCATCTTTATTTCTACAGTTGTGTCCAAAATTATTCAACCCCCAATGCTGTAAAGGGGTTTAGGGACTATAGTGTACATTTGGAATTGTATTCAGAATCAAATCCTACAAGGACGTTGTAACTACCCAAATGCAACTAAAATGACATCAATTGTTTATGTAATACAGTAGTAAATGGTTCTTATGTGGTTTCTTCATTGCCACAATTATTCAACCCCTTAAAGACTACCACTCTGAAGAACAGAGGTTCATACAGGTGCTTTCCATCAGGTATTGAAAACACCTGTGGATGTCACCGAGCAGCAATCAAGCATAATAAGCACCAATTAGGCAGCTTTAAAATGACTGTGATACTCAGCTCCTTCTAGACATTTACTGGTGTGGTTACAAACATGGTGAAGGCAAGAGAATGGTCCAGGAAGACAAGAGAAGAGGTGATTTCTCTTCACAGGAAGGGCAATGGCTATAAGAAGATTGCAAAGATGTTAAACATACCAAGAGACACCTTAGGAAGCATCATTCGCAAATTCAAGGCAAAGGGCACTGTTGAAACGCTACCTGGTCGTGGCAGAAAGAAGATGCTGACTTCGACTGCTGTGCGCTACCTGAAGCGTAGAGTGGAGAGAAGTCCCCGTGTGACTGCTGAGGAACTGAGAAAAGATTTGTCAGATGTGGGTACAGAAGTTTCAGCCCAGACAATAAGACGCACACTGCGTAATGAAGGCCTCCGTGCCAGAACTCCCAGGCGTACCCCCTTGCTGTCTCCAAAGAATAAGAAGAGTCGACTGCAGTATGCCAAAGCCATGTGGACAAACCACAAAAGTTGTGGGATAGTGTTCTGTGGACTGATGAAACAAAATTAGAACTGTTTCATGGGCCCATGGATCAACGCTATGTTTGGAGGAGGAAGAACAAGGCCTATGATGAAAAGAACACCTTGCCTACTGTGAAGCATGGTGGAGGGTCAATCATGCTTTGGGGCTGTTTTGCTTCTGCAGGTACAGGGAAGCTTCAGCGTGTGCAAGGGTACCATGAATTCTCTTCAGTACCAGGAGATATTGGATGGAAACGTGATGCAGTCCGTCACACACCTGAGGCTTGGGAGACGTTGGACCTTTCAACAGGACAATGATCCCAAGCATACCTCCAAGTCCACTAGAGCATGGTTGCAGAGGAAAGGCTGGAACATTTTGGAGTGGCCATCGCAGTCACCAGACTTAAATCCGATTGAGAACCTCTGGTGGGACTTAAAGAAAGCAGTTGCAGTGCGCAAGCCTAAGAATGTGACTGAACTGGAGGCCTTTGCCCATGAAGAATGGGCGAAGATACCCGTAGATCGCTGCAAGACACTTGTGTCAAGCTATGCTTCACGTTTAAAAGCTGTTATAACTGTAAAAGGATGCTGTACTAAGTACTAAGATTGAATGTCACTTGGGGGTTGAATAAAACTGATAATGCTGTGAGCACAGAAAAGACATTTGTGGTTATTTCATTATAACTGTTATGTTATATTTGTCTGACCTACAAGTGCCTCTTTAATGTAAATGTAAGCAAGATGACTGAATGATCAAAAGCAATGTCAAACTGGCCAAAACACTCAATTTCAGTGGGGGTTGAATAATTTTGGACACAACTGTACCTTACTCAACACCATCCATGGATAAAACCTGGATCACAACCCAATGGAAGCCATCATGACTACCATGACTACCCCCTTCTCTAATCCCCTCCCCACCCAACCCTTGTTTTTTTTTTCCAGAAAATACAGAGCTCTAAAGTTAGGTAGTCTTAGAATCTTAATGCCAAGGATTAAATGCAGACAAACAGGCCTAAGAAGGTACCCATACCTACATACAAGTTATTTTGATGTACATTCACGTTTGTTATCTGCTTTTGTAAGCCTCTGTTTCATGATATCCAACAAAAATGTTTTTTATGTATTGCTGTACAATCTAAGTCTAACCCTTGACTGTATATTCTAAGATAAAGAATGTGAAAAAAAAGAAAATGCAGTTCAGTTATAGGCAAATGTTAT